CGCGGGCACCTCTAGTCCCAGCTCGCTGGGGTGCCATCCCACCCGCTGCCATCCGCCCGCGGTGGCGGGCTCAGGGGCCACGCACCCACCAGGATTAGTCACCCAGAAGTAACGCCTGGGGTTTTAAGGCTTGGCTTGCTCTCCCCCAGCTGGAAAGTCATCTGCTTTGTAAGGTGGTGATGCTGAGCCTGCCGGCAACATCAAAATAGAGCTCCTGGCCAGGAAAAGGCTACCTTGATAGAGGCACTTGCGAACCGCGAGAGCTGCTTAATGTGCTGGCCCTTCTTGCCGATGATCGCGCCGACTGCCTGAGCGGGGATGAAGACGTGCACAGTCTCTTGCTCCGGAGGCTGCGTGCAGAGTACGTGGTGTCACCGTTCAGGCTCAGTACAGCCACAAAGACTCAACCGCCCCCCTGCCAGCCCGAGTGACACCCATGCAACACCCAAAGGTGCTGGACTGAGCCGGGGCCAGACCCCGCTAGGGCCTGAGCGCACTCTCTGTTGGGTCTGCAGGAGTTTCAGAGAGGAGACGCAGCAGCCAGCAGGATCAGAACCTGACTGCTGCTAGCGAAGGACGCTAAGGGCATAACCCTGCTCACGGCAGGGATCTTCTCCATGCAGCGGAGATTCAACCCTGCATCCCAAGGAGGAGCCGACAGCTTCCTGGAGCTGGAAACAGGAGAAACGGGAGCAGCTCATGCTGCCAGACCATTCACCTACCATAAAGGAGCTGTACGGAGCTGCCCCGGAGACGCTGCTCGGCGGAGGAGGTACTGCGTTGGAGGAGGCAGGGAAGAGGCCAACCGCTGCCAGGTTGAGGCCAGGGATGAGGTGAGATTGTAACTGAGGGAGTGAGGAGAGAAACACTCATTGCTTTTATTAGAGCATCCTCTTGGAGAGTTCAGATCAGACCAGAAGCAGGGCAGGGCCTTTCACCCTCTGCGACCCAAACCACACTCACACTCATGGCTGCCACGTCGTTCTCGTAGGCTTCCCGCACTTTCTTCATGATCTCCTGCTCTGCTTTGCAGCAGTTCTCGATGGAGCCCTTCACCGTGATGGTCCTTTCAGGGTTGTACAGAGTCAAGTCCTGCAAGCTGAGAGGAAACAGAGCATCACCCTGGCGAAGCGGCAGGCGTGAGCCCGTCCCCTGCCCCCCAAGGGGCACGTGTTATGCCAGGGCCTCCTTCCCTTCTCGAAGGTGGAGACCAGGGGTGCTGGACACCAAGGATGCTGCTGTCACCATCACAGCAGGGTCTTAGCACTGTAAAGGCAGCGCCTGCCTGCTTGCACCCAGAGCAGGGACCAGCATCCCGGTTTGCCCTGGGAAGTCAACCCTCCCTTCCCCAAGCAGGACGTAAGAGCGCAGACGTGGTCCTGCCTGGCTACAAAACCCAGCCAGGCAGCCCCGAATGCTGCAACATGCCACTCAAAGAAGGAGGAGGGGAAAAAATAAAATATAATGCCAAGCTTCTTCAAGAGATCTTTGGGGAGTTAAGTACCCATGGCTCAGGCAGGTTTCCCAGTGACGGGCAGACATCTCTGCCTGCTTCGGTCACCCCCCACCACCACCACCATCAGCACCTCCGGGCTGAGAAAGGTCTGCCCTGATTTTCCAGGAAGAGGCGAAGGGTGCGAGAAGCCTTACGACGAGATGGTGATTTTTGTCTCTGTGTCCTGCTCGACTTTCTTCAAGTTTCGCCCTTCTTTGCCGATCAGGCGCCCCACAAAGTTGTTATGGGCCAAGATTTTCAGAGGCACTTCATCAGCTCTTGAGGGAGGAACAGGAAAAAAAAAAAACATTAACAATTACTACAGCCAGAATGGGAGGGATTTGGTACAAAGTGATGGGGGAGGCTAAAGTCCCCGTGCTTTAAAGCCCAGCAGCCCCCCAAACCCAAGCAGTGCCGAGTCAAGGCTCCCGCACGGAGCATCATCTGGCTCCGAGCGTTAGGAAGCTATTGCAGCCCAGCAAAAAGCCGTGCACGGGATGTGTGTGCACCAGGAAGAAGAGGGAAACCTTACGTCTTGGTGTCTTTCGCCTCCTTCTGCATGATCTCCAAAATCATCTTGCAGGCAGCAGAGCAGCCCTCCGGGGTGGAATGGATGCTGATGGCTTTTTCAGCAGCTCCCGCGTTCTCTTTCCGGTGCACATCGATCCTGAAAGCGCAAAGCAGCACTGAGATAGGCACCAGAGAGAGGCCACCAGGCTCGGCGGCTTCCCAGAGGTGAGTGCAGCCGCTCCTCTTCCCAAACATCCCTGCAGGTTGCCTCAAACTTGCACGTGAGCGCAAGACTACATGCACACGGGGGAACGCAGAAGGAGTTAACTCCCAGCCTGATATACAACATGGACACAGGCAGTGGCTGGAAGCTCAAATCACAGAAATCAAAATAAGGCACCAGTAGCTACTTATTTTAAGTAACAGGATTGATTAGCTGGTGGAACAAACCCGTGCCTGGGGGACAGGGTGGGCTGTCCATCACTATGTCGGAGATAAAGCCTTCCTTAGGGGAGAAGCGTCGCAGCCAATACAAGGCAGTGGCCCAAAAGCAAGAGCATCTGGGTGAACCTCAACAAGCTCGTGCTAAACGAGGCCAGATGAAGTGGTGATCTGCTGAACTAGCGATCTCCTGAACTAGTGATCTCCCCACATGCTCCCCAGGGCTCTTCTGCTGCCCTGCAGCGAGGAGCCTGGGGATCCCATCACAGCCAGGGCAGTCCTGGAAAGGGAGAGGAACGAGGAAGCTCAGCCAGGAAGCCTGGCTAGGAGTCAGCATGGGATCTCAGCACTTGGACAACACAGCCCTGCACAGCGGGAACGCTGGAGACAGAGGCTGCCGGGCGATCTGCTAACAGCCCCTTCTGAGGAACCACCTCTGCACGTCACACTCCTAAATAAGGTGCAAAACAGCACCCCAAGGCCCCAGCCGGAGAACAGGAGGAGAAGGGACTCACTTGGACTGCGTCTGCTTGGTGATGTTCCTGATGGTGGCCCCCTCCTTGCCGATGATGGCGCCCACGTACTCTGTGGTCACCAGGAGGCGGAGGGGGATGTCCACCGGCTGCTGCTTGACGGGTGCCCCCGCAGTGACAGGGGAGCCCTGCCTGGGGGCGCCCCGGGCCCCGAAGCCGCCCCGTCGCCCGTTCTCCGGCCCTTGCATGGACTGCTCGTCAGGGATGTAGGAGACTTTCAGCGCGTGGTTCTCCAGCTGGTGTCCGTTCAGCTTCATGATTGCTCTGGAGGGGGAGCAGAGAGAGAAGGGGTTGGTGCCAGAGGCATTTCCCAGCTCAGCCGGCTGTTCCCATCCTGCTGCCCAGCTCCGGCAGCCTCTGGGGACACTCGCGGGTGAGCGGGGCAGATGTGAGGCGTCCGTACAGCAGCTTGGCGCCCCGTCGAGGGACTGGGAATCGGAACGGGCCAAGCCCTCCCTGGCTCAGCTCCCAGCAAGGAAGCCCCGGAGCAAGGGAAGGAGATTCCCTCGATGCCGCGGGGACCTGGCAGGACTTTCCACCCAGTTGGGCTGAGCCAAAGCATTTGAAGGGGACCCTCTCCAAGCCCTCGGCCTCGGGGCAGGGGACAAAAGCAACGCGCACAGGACGGGATGCGGGCAGGGCTGGACGCAACGGGTCAGGGAGTCTTTCCCTCATGATTTTTTTCCTGATATTTTAAATCCATCTCCCGGCAGGCGTTTTGGGGGCTGGCTGCAAGACCTGAAAGCTGTCGATAGATGGGGCTGGCAGCAAGAGCAAAACAGCTGCTCTCTGCCACAGGGCTCCGCAACTCTCATTCCTAAGGTTTCTACAAAGACAACTCAAACTCTGGTTCTCTGCAAAGCGGTCAGTGACTCAACTCTTGCAAAAAAAAAAAAGAAACCCACAAGTGATCAAACAGAAACTTCCCCGCAGAATGTGAAGGACCTGAGTCAGAAAGGCACTCAATAACGTCTGCAGGCTCCCTGGAGGAGAAGTGAGCACCTACTGCGAGGCAGGGAAAGGCATCGGTGGCTAAAATCTGGGGACCAGGGAACAGGACTGGATCTCCAGGGATGGGCCAAGGCACGCGCATCTGCCTACCCCCGGCTTTGCGAGATGACTGCCTGGCTTCGGGCTTGACAGGGGAGCTACATGGATAAAGCTCCTCGGTCCCGAGCTTCCCCAGTGGGGAAACCCAGGGTGTTTAACCTGATCCACTGCTAGCCAGGAGATTAAGGGCCTCACCGTCTCGAAATCACGGCTTTAAGTCCGAGACTCGGGCACGGCTGGGGGGAACAGGACTCGCAGGGCACGGCGCTCTGTCCCGTGTTATTGCAGCGAGTAAAACGAGACGGTGGTTCTCAAATGAAGTTTTGCTGCGGCCGCGCATGCGACCACAGCAAATTCGCAGCGGCCGCAGTTTTGACAGTTGAAGCATTATGGGCCGGGAGGTGATTTGGAAGCGCGCGTTTTCGTGGAGTGACCACACGCAAAATCCCCTGGGACGGCAGCATGGCCGCAGCGGCCACATTTGAGAAGTGCCAGAGTCGGTGACGTAAACCTTCCTGGATAAAAATCTATCAATCAGTGCCTGCGCTCTCCCTGGCTCCCCTCCAAGCAAAGTGCTGATCCCATCCCTTTTACAGCTTTCCAGAGCCCTTCATCTAGGCAAAAAGGAAAGGGAAATAAACACAGCAGCGAAGACCCAATTAATTTTCCATTTGCATTTAGTGTAAAGCCTAATCTTCCCCAGGCAGGATGGAGAGTCACGGAGTTGAAAGTCTCCCAGCGATATTGCCATCACCCCGCGAGGATGCATGTTGTCTCATGCCTACCAACTCCTATGATATTTAATCTCATTACTACTTTTTCTGAAGCCGTAATTCCTGAAATCATGTAAATACAAGAAAACTTTGGCTTTCCTTTGAACAAAAAGTTACGTCTTTAATCTTAGAGAAGATGTGCCTCATTTTTTACCCAAAGCTTACGAGCGTTCGGGTGAACGGGCTCTAACTCCCGGCACTGGAAATCACGCTCTCTGCACTAAGAAAGGGGCAGGGAACGGAGACGAGTTTCCCACCGGGGCAACGCGTGGCTCCGAGGGGGACGGAGAGCGGGGCTGCGGGTCACTCACTGTCGGGTCTGCTCCCGGTTGGCGTAGGTGACGTTGACGACCGCCGTCTCGCTGTCTGTGTTCACTTGGAGCAAAAGAGGCAGAAATCAGAGCCAGGGCGAGCGACTAGGGCGAAGCAACGAGTCCCCCCACCGGCGCTTCGCGTCCCCGGGGAGCCGCGACCTTCCTGCCTCGCTTAAAGGCTCCCAAGACGTCATCGCTCTCTGCGCTGAACCAGCAAAAGGAGAAAGCCACCAAGCCTAACCCCATCCGCTCGCCCGTGCTGGAGCCCAGGGACTGCCCCGGAGCTCCTCCGAGCCCTCCTTTCCATTTCTAGGAGGCTTATGGTAACCGTACTCTCATTAAACATCCCGGGGGCAATATTAAAACTCACATCTCAACTGATCGCCATTAGAGGCTGAGATAAAATCTGTCGAGCGGAGACAGATAGTCCCCCACCGGCCTCCAG